AAACTTAAAGAATGTTTTTTCTGTTTTTATTTCCAAGCTTGCCGCAGATTGTAAATTGGCTTTAAATCTGGACTTTGACTAGGCCAGGAGTCTGCAAGCTTTGACTCGAAGGAGCAGTTTTTTGTCTTCAGTCCGGCTTAGTAAGACTCACTTCGTGCAGCAAATCTTACATCAACTTTTAAAAAAAGAGCTTAGAATTTCTGATAATATTTCTGCTAAAATAAATGTTATTAAAGAACTGGCATTTTTTTATTTGTTAAGGTTTTAGAATAAAGTAAACATTAACATTTGCTGACAAAAGAAAAGAATCAATTTTATGGAGCATCATGTGAAAAAAAAGCTAATTTTCAAACTAACTCAAAACAATCAGACGAAATGAATGTTACTGGTACTTTTAGTGTCAACGTTGTGAACATTCAATACAGCTATTACATAAAAAAACTGTTAAAACTTACATGTATAATTACTAATTAAGCTGTATTTAAAAATATTAGCTGAGCTGTTGTGGAAGATCCAAGGAGCTACTTGCATCCCCCGAGCCTCAGTTTGCAGACCCTTTGACTAGGCCATTCAAATACATGAACATGAGTCTATTTAAGCCTAATAGCTGATGGAACTTCGAACCGGCTTCAGATCCTTAGAGTTGTTCATAAATTCATGCACTCAATGAAGTTCTTCTTTTCAATTTCCATAAATGCATCATATGTGTAATTCAGAAGATTTTTATCATGTCAGTAGAACATGACAGAGTTTGAGTGGCACCCTGGTGAAATAAGGCCAACGTCACGATAAATTTCTCAAGTTGATAAATTGCCCCAGAAATTATTCCAATAATCAATAAAATTGTTGTTTCGATGCCATTTTCAAATAATATAAAAATAACGGCATAATAATCCAAGTCCGTCCAACAAACAGAAAACTCCACACTTCAACTGGAAAACATTTTAAATATCAAAAATGAAATTCAACAACCAAAAACAAGAAAAGGAAATAAAAAAAAAACACCCACAAAACAAACCATGATTGCAAAAAAATGGATGGAGTCTGTAAACAAAATTGCACTTCAAGAATGGAAATTATGGATCTCATTTTAATTTATGAATGATTGCTTTTTGTGCCACGTGTTCCCTCCACCATGCTTCACGGTGCTGACGGTGTGCCTCAAGGTCATGTGTGGTTACTTTTTATCCCCGCAGGAAGTTTTGCATAAAGGAAAAGAAGTTAAAATGTTGGGTAAGTTTTTAAGTCTGCATAAGACTGACATGAGACAGTCATAAACATGACAAAACACTTATTATGAATATGAAGGAGTCTTCATAAATGTGTCATTTGTTAAATGATAACACTATTAATGCAAAGTCACATTAAATGTTGCATTACAAGTGTCAACTTTGCTTTATATGGCAAGTAATGACATTTTAATCCAAAGTTGCACTAAAACTTACATTAAAACTGAACGACATCTCATGACAACAGTCATAAGCTTTCGTTCAGACTCCTTCATGTTCATGACTCATGTCATGTCATGTCATGCACACGCCTTGAAATAAAGTGATCCCAATTTTTGTGTTTGCTGCGTCTCCGACATGGCTCGTCAGCAAACCGAATACTTTTTTTCTCGACGGACGTCTTTTCTGATCACAGGAACTAATAGCCGCCCTCATCCCACCTGTCGCTCCAGACCGAGTCCGCATCTCGTTTCAGCCAGGAGATCCATTTGACCCAATGTCTAATGTGAACCAATTAAGGTCTTTACATGCGCGCGCACTCCGCGACGTAGAGCCGAATCGCTCTTAATACCGGTTAAATACACGTCCCTGCTGCTATAATACACCTACACACACTACAGCGGTGTGCGTCGTGTGATTATGAGGCGATATAAAGCCTTCTGCAGAACCTGACTGAATGAGCTATCTAATGGGCATGGGAACTAATTCCAGGGCAAAGGGGATTAAAGGCTAAAGCAAGAGGGAGCAGCGCGGGGCTGGCGCTCTCTGGCAGCTCAGAGTGCAGAGGGCGGAAAAACAGAGATGATGTATAAACGCACAGAATCCTTGCCTCCTGAATCCTATTTTGCAGAATAGCATTAAAACTGGCATCTTGTTTAATCCTGACAGTTCTATATTTTCAGACGGGGTGAAGGTGGAAGGGGGAGAGAATTAAATATTAAGTGATTCAGCCAAGAGGAGGGAAATAAAGGAAAATATTCTAAAGGGAAATATTCAGTAAGCCTCGGAATTTGCTGAAAATCTACATTTTTATTTATTTTTTTGTCACTGATTACGTCTATTGCCTGCGAAATAATTGACAAAAACCTGTCTTGGCAGTTTAGAGAGCCTGCAGCTGAAGCCAGAAGTTTACATACACTGAATAAAAAGACGGATGGATTTTTATTCTCACTGCCTGAAATCACATCAGACCAAACGTCTCTTTTTATTTAGGTAAATTAGAACAAAATCAGATCTACTTGCGCTGTATGACAATAGTGAGAGAATGAATATGATTTATTTATGAATGTCTTCAGAATCAGGACTTTCCGTTCGTTTCCTCTGTGTTCGGTGGCGTTGTCTATGAACTGAACGACTGGGCTCAAACCTTTTGGGTTTCCTTCTAGAAGATTCTCACGACAATTTGCTGGAGTTCTGGTCCTCCTGACAGAACTGGTGGCTGCCTCACTCACACACACATTTTAATGATCAACCCACAACTTCTCCATAAAACAGAGTGGGGATTTGTGATGACAAAACCAAAAAGACTGACTTTGTTGTCCTTAAGTCACTTTGCAGCCACTTTGACAGCATGCACTCAAAAGGTTTGACTCAAGTCATACAGTTTAAAATATAGCTTTTCCTCATAATGACCAATTGTGTTCACTTCTGAATTTAATAAAAAGTAAAATAAATAAATCTCTAAAAAAAAGTTCATGCTAAGTTTTCTGGGACTTGGCAAATAAAAATAATTTTGGTGATTCTAACTGACCTAAAACAGGAGACGTTTGGTCTTACCTAAGTAAGACCAAACCATGATTGCAAAAAAATGGATGGAGTCTGTAAACAAAATTACACTTCAAGAATGGAAATTATGGATCTCATTTAATTCCTTTAACACATTAAGGAAAAAAAAATGTGTGTGTGTGTGTGTGTGTGTTTTTAAGCGGTATATGTAAACTTCTGATTTACATAATCATAGTTATAGAAGTAAATAAAGTAACAACAATGCCAAAGCATAATGTCTCACCAAGTATTTTTGGTTCAGTTTCTAGTGCAAATATCTTAATACACTTGAAATAAGACAAAATTAGCTGACAAGTAACTTATGAAGAAAATATAGGAGTTTGTTTTAAATCAATAATTTCTTAATTTATATGAAAAAGTACTGGTTCCACTGGCAGACTAGTTTATTTGTAATGAGATATTTTCACCTTGTTATAAGTGAAATAATCTGCCAGTGCAATTTTTCATCAATCTTAAGGAATTATTGACTTAAAAGCTCCAATTTCTTCCTGAAAAGTTATTTGTAAGTCTGTTTTGAAGTGCACCAACAAATGTGCACTAGAAGCTACACCATAAACAAGTGGTAAGACTTTGTGTTTTTGCAATGAACACCTCTTTCTGGTTACAGAGACGCTTCCTAAAAATGGCTTCTGGTGATGCCAAGCTGAAGTATTGGGCCCAATCTGGAAAACTGTCCTGCGATTCTGATAACCCACCAGCCCACATGCTCATGGCTCACAGGCTCACGCTGGAAGGAGTGTGTCTGTTTTTCTTCCAGCTCCACCAAATGCCACAGTGAAAAACACACAGCGTGCGGCCGTTGCACTATTATTTACATAATTACGCCAATGAAACGTGTTTAAATAGCTTTCTGTTTTCTCCACAAAGCTCTCATCAGCAGTCATTACGCATGCATCAGGTGTCCATTCAGACAGCGTTTCTTCGAGCACCTATGACAGCCGCTATTACGAGGAAGCTGTTGTCATGCCAGCGGCACTTTGAGCCGAGGATACGAGTCCAAAAATAGTTAAACCTGCTGTTCAGCTCCGTTCAAAGCACAATTACAGGAAACGACTCTTTAAATTGTGCCACAGTCCAACACAGGGGCCATGAATCACCACGGCGAGCGACTCCCAGCAGGAAGAAAACTTCAGATTAGCTTATGTGTATTCCATTAAAAAAAAAAAAAAATTTTATTTTTATTTTTAGAGGTCATGGAGCTGAACAGTATGGATTCTCTGCCCTCTACTTCCTGTTAATTTGAGGTGCTGGAAGAAAAGGAAGCCCAGTTTTAATCTTGATGTAATCTTGGCCAAAACATGAGAATACATTTTTTTACCTGAAGTCAGTCAAAAGAAAGAAAATAAAAGTAAGTGATTCTTGTCAGATATAAGATATAATTGCATCATTTTTATACAGAAATGCCAAACAATTGAATCTGGACATGTATTAATTACAGTTTTGACACTAGGGCTACAGCTAATGATTATTTTAGTAATCAATTATTCTGTTAGTTATTTTCATGACGAAAAAAACGACACAATCTGCACATTTTTCTATTTAACCACTTAAGCCCTTTTTTGTACATAAGAAAGACATTAAAAATGCAAATAATTCATTTTCTTTTTTAAATAATAAAATAAGTATTTTTGTTGCCTAAAATGCTACGACACAGCAATCGTTCAGTGTACACTTGACAACATGTGAAAAGCTCAGCTCAGCCTGTCACAATAGGCAACAAGTCAATTAACTGCGTGATCAATTAAAATGTGCTCAATAATTTCAATTGGGACAATCAGAGAAATGCTTTCACATTGATGAGCCTCAAGCATAGAAATGCAACTGTTCTGTTTGAAAAGTTAAAAACACAAAATAATCTGAGATTTATGACAAACTATTTGGCGGCTGCAAAAAGAAAAGTGAAAAGTTTGGGGTTGGAGGAGTTGTCTTCTTTAGGAGATCATTAAAACAGGAAGACAAAGACCAGATAAACTGCGGACGTCTTACCGAAATATTCATCGGACGGAGGGTTGTCCATGTCGAACAGCATCTTTTTGGTCAGGCGCGCTAGTTCGTCCTCTGGGTGCGCCTCTGGAGCTCCGCCCTGGGGGAAAAAAAACACAAAAAAACCACAAACGTCGAGGTTAAATCCTGAACGAGACAAGAAAACTTAAGCGCAGTCTCGAGGGCCAAACAAAACACAGTGAGAGTAATTAACATGCAGCGTATGCTTTTGCCTTCTGGGATATCTGACCCTGGTTGAGGGCCCAGACCAGAAGGTTTGCTTTTGTACCAAAAAAATACAAACAGTGAACCCCCGACTGAATCTGAAAGAAGAGGTAAATATTATCAGAAAGCTGCTTTCAAGCTGGGAGCGTTTGGGGAGGCAGGTCAGGTGAGGGTATTTAGATGAGATCTGAAATGATTCGGTGACATAACCCTCTGAAGTCGTCTCCTTCCTATCAGCCCGTCCGCCTCCTTATCGCGCCGTCTCTGACATCTGTCCTCTGTCTGTTCTGCTTCGGGCCTGACGTGTCGCGTTTGACATTTTCTGCCAATCATCCTTTAGAGCTTGAAGAGGAATAAATAAATACATTTCAAAAAGCCTGTTCTGCTCCAGCTCCGGGCCCGGGCTCCATCCCTCGTCTCAGGTGCCTGTTTGTCCTTTTTTGGGGATCCTTCAGGGGCGATGCGTTGGATTCTCTCTGTTTTGCTGAGCGGAGAGGCTTTTTTTTTCTTCTTCAGATAACGGCAAAGATCTTCCTAGATCTTTGCAGCAGATTTGATTTTCAATAATCCAATCATCTGGGCCGACCTTTGAGCAGCTTCTAATTGTGACACCTGGGAGAGGTCGCTGTGGCTTCTGTCTCTTTTATTCACACTTTCACGCGCAAATCTACATCTTCAATAAAAGATGAGATTAAAAAATACTTGTGGAGGCAGAATACATGGGTAATTATCCTGCAGTTATCGAATGTGTATTATTTGTCTGTTTACCTCTAACCTTTAGGTACTTAGCCTGCGTATAATGAGGGATCCAAAATTCACCTTGGGAAATTCATTACACTTTATCTATTGATATTTATGTTTTTCAGTAAAATGTCAACAATGATTATAAAAAGCTTTTGTGTTTTCTGTCTAAAGGGCAGAGAGGTGTTCATGGTACAAAGCGGCGTATTCAATAGTGTAGGTTGTCCAAATAGCAGGACGCTGGAATAAAATCCATAGAGATCAATGAGGTGAATTTCACTCTTCCAAAATTATTGATATTAAAGCAACATCACAAAAATGTGCACAAAAATCAATAAACAGATGAAGAATTTTGTTTCGCCTGTTGTGACAGTAGCTGCTGGGAACGACAACGACGTGTTAGGGCTGATGTAGATCCGATTTTTAAAAAAAAGCAAGATTAAATTTCCGACAAAAAAAATGTACATTTTGAGATTACTTTGTTTTTTTCTAGAAAATTTCTCAAACTATTCTCAAAATGTCGGAGTTTCTACTAGCAAATGTTCAACTTTTCAAAGTCAGAAATTTCACATTATCTTCTGGAAAATTTCTGTTTTTAAGCTCAAAAGGAGTTTTTTTGCAACAAATTTTCAACTCAGAAATGTCTGAGATTCTTCAAGACTGAAAAATTTGGTGTTTTTGAAACAAAGTTTTGACAAATTTTCAGAAATGTATTTGATTTTTCCAGTTATTTCTTTTGTCAGATATTTACTTATATTTATTTTTTTCTTTAAATCTTCAATTATATACCTTTTGCTGCACAGTATGGATGTTACATCAAACAGGAAGGGCTGAGCTTTTAACACGTTGATGTTGGAAGGATTTTTCAGCTGTAAATGACAAAGCATTCACTAAATGAATGCTGCATTGCTGCATTTAGGCATTAAAATATTGATTTTCTTATTTAAAAAGGAATTGATTTGCTTATTTACATCTCTAAATGCATTTCTAGCATTGTATTAAATGGTTGAATAAAAAATGGGAAGTATGTGCAATTTTTTTAAATGCGATTAATCAATTAATCGCCAGAATTATCAATAAAATAATCATTAATCGCAGCCCCAATGAGGACTGAACCATTTCACCAACTAACAGCTTTCCTGAATTATATGTTCTGTCTGCCTTCTCCTGCCCTTTACTGGCATACTACGACAGAAAACAACACATTTCCATTTGCTAAAAATCAACATCCGTTTTCCATTTCTAACCATTATGATCCACTTAAAGCACAGCTCTCTGACGCGCTGTACCCAAACAATCTTTTTCCTTAGCTTCGCCGTGCGTGAGTTTTCCCTGCAAGCCGTGGGAGGGTTTTCGCTCGCCACGTGCGGCGCGCCATCACGCTGCAGCTCCAAGGGGCACACAGAGGTGAGAGAGAAAATGGGATCATCATAAAGCTCCGCTTGGGAGCTGTGCAGAACTTAAGACCAGATGAACATGAGACGCGCTAGACGTCTTTGAGAAACATTCATGAATTAAAAAAAACAAAAAACAACCCTTCGCTGATATGTACGAACGATGTGAAGATGTAGTAAATTATTGAGATGATGTAAGAAGATGTAGACTCAACGTTCCGTATGGAACGAAAAGGAATATTTTGTTAGATGGACAGACAGATTTAGAGCTTTATTTGTTACAAGTGTTTGGATTTATGCCTGAAAATTGACACATTTTTGTTTAGCATCATTCCAATTGTTTTTTTTTTTTTTAGTCGCCCAAGAATAGATGATAACTGCTCAGGTTCACACACTGGTTTCTGCTTACGTCAAGGGTCATAATGTTTTGCTGGAACTCTTATAACGTGTCGCCTCATGTTTACACAGGGAGGAAACAGAAAGTCATGGCATACTTGAAACAAGTTCATAGAAACTCTGACTACATTAAAGCCAAATGTGGATAGTAACATATTTCAGTTACTTCTATTTTAAAGGAATAATTTGGTCAGCAATGACTGTGCCACGGGTGATTTTGTTAAAAAACACTATTTTAAGAAAATAAATGCACACAAATTCTTACAGTTTTCGATTGTAGATGTAGAATTTGTTTGTTCTTGCGTTAATTTGACATTTAGCAATTATATTTTAAGAATGATTGGCAATCTGTCATTAATTAGTTTTTACACCTGAATATCTTTTGACCTTTCAGCTGTGGCCTGTAACTCATACAAGCTTGGTTTCACTCCTTCTAAATATTGTTGTAAGACTTGAGTCACAGAAAAGTTAAGTCACGAGTTAAAGTCAGAAATGTTTTTTGTTTGTTACCAGAGCTTTTCTAACTTACATTAGCAGCTAGCTATGCTGCAGAGTTACCACTAGCTTGTACATAAACAGGAGCAACACATTTTAGACAATCTGTGTTGGAGGTTAATTTGGGCTTAAAAATCCAACCCGGCACAAGCCGGTATTGTGTATGAGCCCAACCCAAACATCAAGAAAATAACTCTGGCTTGAACCCAGCCAAGTTTACGCCATAAATTTAAACTCTAATCCGTGTTAATCATCACCAAAAAGTAGTTTCTTTGTTTCTTTTTACCAAATTCATCTTTTGGCAGAAAAAGGCGATTAGTTTGGTAAGTTGATGTTATATTTCAGTCCTCTCCCATTACTGGAAATACTCCTGCTGAAAATCCAAATTTGGCTCCAAAGGGATTTGAGCCAACATCAGTCCAAAAGCAGCAAATGCACAGACATGATATTCTGCAATCTGACTAAGTGTATATGTAGAACCTGAATAATAGGATACAGAGGTATTCCAATTCACAGCATAGGCCATCTATCTGTACTTTATATCCAGAGGGAATGAAAACCGCTGAGCTCTGCTTACTGGCCGCCATGGCTCTCAGAGTGTAAACTTTATGACGCCCGGCTGCTGCCTGGCCTGGCTCAGGATGCGTCCCCGCTGATAAAGGAAGCTCAGACAGTAGGCCTCATTAGCTGTGAGGGATCAACATGTCGGACAGAGGAGCGTGTCTGCCATGCAGGAGCACTTTCTTTCTAGAAAGCAGCTGGGCTGGGATTCCTTGGCACCCCGCGCCCCGCGCAGCCGTTATTAGCCTGGATCGCATGATGGGAGGATTAGTGGGAGATGAAAGGGGAGCTCTCCTCAGTGCTTCAGTATTTCTTTGTTCTCACCTTTAAATGCCTCGGCTTTTCTTAGAAACTGCTCACTGACCAAAAGGTGCCACGCACCGGAAATAGACACAACAACAAGCCGCACAAAGGAGAAACGCGGTAAATCTCTTTTAGAGTTCCCTTCGCCTCGCAGAAGGTCTGAGCCTGTCAACCCATGCTGTTAATTTAAGACAGTCAAGTAGACAGTTGAACACGGTTAATCTTCGCTCCACATCAAAAGCGGGTTGGAGAGCGAATGAAATGCACCCATTACCAGAAACAGACTCTTGACTTTAAGCTTCATTTATATCTTATCCAGCTCGCTGCCGCCCCGCAGCAACGCTCTGCCAGAGAGTTTAAAGCACCTTGTTAGGGAGTCTTTTGTGACAGCATGGAATAATTTTTCACTTGAATAAGAGAAAGAAATTGCTTCCCTGCGTGCTTTATGATTGCTTTGCGGCTCCTGTTCGGCTTTTCAGAGACAACAATGGGAGCTGTAAGGCAGCTGGTGCGAGTTTTTTTCCAGTTATGTCTGGCTTGGTTCTGTAAATTGTTTTGCCTGTGCCCTCAGGATACACGGGCCCCGGTTTCATTGAAGTCAGGGCTTAAATTTAGCGGTGACTGGGTTAACAGCTGCACCTGTTGTCTTCTCTTATGTACAACGAGTCTGAAGAGGCAGAAGGGGGCACAAGGGGTTCAGGTCATCCGTCTGCTTTCTTTCATCAGCAGTGATCCTCCTTGAAAGACATCCTGACGGGCTGCCGAACGCACTCGGACGGACCAAGACTTCAGAGGCTTGTAAATGCCAGAGCACTTGTAATCAAAAAACAACAATAAGACGTGAAAGTGGCCGCTGCTCGATGCGCAACGACAGAATCTGGGAGCTGGTCGCTGCCCGGCTGCCGAGTCTATGAATAAAGCTGTGAGGAGCGCTCAATGTGGAATTGGCATTGTGTCAAGAGTGATTAAGTGAGTGGTGGAGTGG